CTTGCGGAGGAATGTAAACACTGACGAGAATGAACGAGCAAAACTCCTGCGGCGAATAGAACGGCTTGCAGTTAACGAAGAGCGCTTCTAGATCGGGACAGCACATCTTCTTTAACGCTGTAACATCTGTACACCACCTTTCGTTGATGTAAAAACATGTCCCGCCGCCGCGCGATTTCCCCGTTGATTCTGAGTCGCGGTCTGCTCTAAACAGCTGAAAGCCGGCAGATGTAGCGCGCTGTCCGGAATGGCGTCATTCAGCCAGGTTTCCGTGAAACACAGAGCAGCAGAGTTTGAAAAATCAGTGTGCAAATGAAGAGATGAGAGCAAAGCTAGCTTTAGATGTAAACATCATGATGGCATAATCACAGTGTAGCATAATGATCAGGTGCATGAATGGTGTGTGTGTGTGTGTGTGTGTGTGTGTGTGTGTGTGTGTGTGTGTGTATGTGTATTTTATAGTTTTATAGTTTTTTTTTTAATCCAGGCATTTTGTACAATCATATCATCAGGACCCAGTATCTTAATTATGTTAAAGGTGAGGTATGTGTTTTTGAATATTAAAACTTCATTCAGTCCCAGTTTAATGGGCAACTGGGTTGTCAGGGCTAATCCTGTTATGCAGAAACATTTTAACTTTGTGACTTTGGAAATAAAAAAAGTATAACAACTAGGGCTGTCATCGTTAACGCATGCAATTAATTTTACAATCCTTGACGCGTTAAAATAATTTAACGCAATTAATGCAAAATCACTGAAGCACAATTTCTATTCTAACCCTTTAACCCAATTTTGCTACTCTGCTTGCGATTGATCATTTTAAGCTGCTAAACTCCGGGAAAGTTTTAAGCCCAATGATCCAGTAAGCGAATGCATTTAAACAATCCATCCAAACCAGTGCTAATATAAAGGAAACCAGGCTGATTACATCAGAGATTGCAGAGAGAACAGAGACGCGTTGCGTTTTAAGTGAATTATTCATTCCAGTGTGTTTAGCTTTAAAACACGAGCTCTGTCATATTCTGTGATTGTCTCTGAAGAGTGCGAGCTCTCACACGTCATGCGCGCTGTGTGAAGTACAGACTGAACAGGTTGTCAACACATCCCACCGCTGTATGGCCAGATGAGATGCAAACTACGACTGGATAACCAGTCTCGCTAGTAAAGTTTTGATGGATGAAGACTGCAATCAAGATAAAGACGATTGCGGTGGCGTACAGGAGTCGTACAGTAAGCATGAGTGAGTCCGTTAAAGACATCTAAATTTATCTTGAAAAAAGCTTGCAGAAAATATAAATTTTTGAGAATCAACCTTCAATCTTTTGGTTTACTTTGCTAGATATAGCAAATGATGACAAAATTAACATTTGAAACAAGATAAATGGTCTATGCTTAATTTCATGAAGTGACGATTAGTCACGATTAATCACAGAAAAAGGATGTGATTAATCAGATTAAACATTTTAATCGATTGACAGCCCTAATAACAACATTAAGCACAACCTTAATATTGTGCCAAGTTCATGCACATTTTGTAACTTGATTATTTACACTAAGTCTAAATACATACATACATACATACATACACGCATACATGCATGCATACATGTATATTTTATTCAAATAAATAAAAGTATGCCCACCAGGATAGAAATAAAGAGCTAAAGTTAGCATGGGATTAAGAGTTGGTTTACCTGTGGTCAAGTTGATTTTGATATTTTTAATCATCTTTTGAAACATTGATATATTACTTATATCTTTAAAAATCCAAACAAGTTTAATATTAAGACATGCATTAAAAAAATAATATTACGAATGACTTGTCTGCATTTACACTGCAAGGCTTAATGCACACATGATATTTTGAAACATATATCCAATATTATTTAGCTAATTACATATTATGTAACTTGTGCAAGTTATATTGCATATATTTTATTTTAATATATATATATATATATATATATATATATATTACATCCATCAAGTTCTCAAATAAAACAATTAAATCAGATAAAGTACTTTATTTTGTAAAGTATTGAATGGATTATTAAATTATATAATAGCTATATGTTATAAATGAACAAGGTTGAATTTCCTGCAAAAAAATACACTTAAATGTAATATATACCATAAATTAAGTTGTTAGTGATATTAGATTTTGGTCATACCGGGCAGCCCAATTTTGTTTTTCACAAATATGAAATTTCTCTCATGTCATGCAGACTCCTGTCCATGGTTTGCTGTGGAAATAACTACATCTTATGGTATTTTCAATCACATTGGCTCTGAGATTACTTGGCAGTCTAGGCAGATGATGCATAAGTCTCAAAACACACTAAGGTTACCAAAGATAATGTGCAGATTATAGTGTTACCATTCATGTGGGAAATTGACTTGTCGGCCAATCAAATTCCATGCATCTTCATTTAATGGAATGCACTCACCTTTAAATCTGTCATAGCAGATGTGATGGGAATGTGGTGCTAGGATGTGGCGGCTACAGGAGTGTGTCAAACAGCAGCTAACATACATCAGAACAGTGGCTGCAGTAATGAACAGAAAATTGGCCTCCCTGTCCCACTGTAATGGGAGATTCAATAAAGCAAAATGCTAATCAGGTTATTTGGTTAGCCACTGTTAAAAAAGGACTTTCTCAATTTTCCCTACAAATACCATTGATATTCACTGCATGCCGGCAACATTTTGGTCTATGTTTTGTGACCTTCCGGCAAATCTATCAAGGCATATATGTTAAATAAGCCATATCATGAGACATCAAATGTTTATGCTGTGAAAAAAAAATGATGTAAACAAACTATACAAGGGTTTCTAAAAATGTGCTTATTCAAAAAACAAACAAAAACAGGTTTGCAAGGCCATCGAGGTACATGTTGTGCACTGAGCCTTACCGCTTCCTTCAGCTGTCAACTATTAAGACATCAAAGCCTTGATATCAGCCAAAAAGCAAAAGTATGTAGTATGTTTAAAATCATAGTATTTGGAAAAAGAGTAGGGGAAAAGTACACGGATGACCTACTGCTTATGCCCAGATTCTGAAGTGTGCAGTTGATGGACACTTTACTGTCCCATGAGGCCAAGGGAGATGATTTATGAATGGCAGTGCAGCAACGCAATTGATGTCATGCGATAGTAACAACATGATGGACATAGGACTTCCAAATTTCATTCATACTACCAAT